TGGTTAGGTTAATTCCTAAATATTTTATTTTTTGGGAGGTTATTGTGAATGGGTTTGATCCCTTTATTTCCCTCTCTTCTTGTACATTGTCAGTGTACAGGAAGGCAACTGATTTTTGTGGGTTTATTTTGTATCCTGCTATTTTGCCGAAGTGACTTATGATTTCTAAGAGTTTGGGGATGGAGTTTTTGGGATGGTGAAGGTATAGTATCATGTCGTCTGCAAAAAGGGATAGTTTAACTTCTTCTTTCCCTATGCAGATCCCTTTAATGTCTTTTTCTTGCCTTATTGCCCTGGCTAAGGGTTCCAGGACTATATTGAAGAGGAGTGGAGACAGTGGGCATCCTTGCCTTGTTCCTGATTTTAGGAGAATTGGTTGTAGCTTTTCCCCATTAAGTATAATATTGGCTATTGGTCTGTCATAAATGGCTTTTATTGTTTTTAGAAATGTTCCTTCTATTCCTATTTTCTCCAGAGCTTTTAGCATGAACGAATGTTGAATTTTATCAAAGGCCTTTTCTGCATCTGTGGTGATAATCATGTGATTCTTGACTTTGGCTCTGTTGATGTGTTGGATTACATTTATTGACTTACGTATGTTAAACCATCCCTGCGTCTCTGGGATGAAGCCTACTTGGTCATAGTGTATAATTTTTTTTATGTGTTTCTGGATTCTGTTAGCTAGAATCTTGTTAAGGATCTTTGCATCTATGTTCATCAAGGAAATTGGCCTGTAATTCTCCTTTTTGGTTGTGTCTTTGCCTGGTTTGGAATGTGTGTGAAATTGGCTTTGTAGAATGAGTTTGGGATAGCTCCCTCCTTCTCTGTTTCTCTGAAGAGCTTGAGGAGTATGGGTATTAGTTCTTCTTTAAAGGTCTTATAGAATTCTGCTGTGAATCCATCTGGTCCTGGGCTTTTTTTTGTTGGAAGACTTTTGATAGCTTCCTGTATCTCGTTGTAGAATATTGGCTTATTTAATTGGTTTACTTCTTTTTTGCTCAGTTTGGGCAACTTGTATTTCTTTAAAAATGTATCCATTTCTGCCAGATTTTCTTCCTTTAGAGAGTATAACTTTTGAAAGTGAGACTGAAATTTTTTATGCTTGTCAAGGTTATACATTTGAAATTAGCACTTTAATAAATCTGTCAATTTTTTCAACATTGGCTAGCCATGTGCCAATCTATCTACAGCAGTTTATGAGTTTCTACATATCCTTGTCAACACTAATATTGTCTCTTGTTTTGATTAGAGCCACAATAGTTTGTGTGGTATATTTCACTGTAATTTTAATTTGCATTTACTAATAACTAGAGAGCATCTTTTCATCTGATTGTCACCAGTTCTCATCCTTTTTGATAAATTCTTTCAATTTTTTTTGCCCATAAGTTTATTGTCTTATTGCTTGTGAGATTTCTTCCTATATCTGGATATAAGTCTTCGGTCATTGTGAGATTTCTTCCTATATCTGGATACAAGTCTTCTGTCAGATGTATGATTGCCAATTATTTTTGCCCAAACTGTACTTTGCCTTTTTTTATGTTCTTAATTGTGTCTTTTGATGCACAGAAGTCTTAAGTATTGATTAAGTCTAGTTTATCATTTTTAAATGGATTTTTACAACTGGTGGTTTAATAATGTTTTAGGGTTTTTTGTTTTTTGTCAGTTTGGGGGCCTGAACTCGGGGTCTGGGTGTTGTCTCTGAGCCTCTTTGTTCTCAAGGCTAGTGCTCTATGTCTTGAGACAGTACCACTTCTGGTTCTTAAGTGATTAATTGGATCTGAGTCTCACAGGGACATTTCTACCTGGGCTGGCTTTGAACCAAGATTCTCAGATCTCAGCCTCCTGAGTAGCTAGGATTACAAGCATGAGCCACCATCACCCAGCTTAATAGTGTTTTACCCAACTCCAGACCATGGATTAATGTAGAAATTATAGTATTAGTTCTTCCTGTATATCATGTGGAGAAAGAACAAAAACACAGCTTTCAGCCTGTGCATATCCAATTCTTCCAGCACCATCTATTGAAAACACTGCCTTTCCTTACTAAAATGTCTTTATAATTGTGTTAAAAGTAAATTAGCTGTAAATGTAAAAGCTTAATTCTGGAATCTTCTATTTCATTGATCTGTATTTCTACATTCATGTAAGCATCATACTGTCTTGCTCATTGTACAGTTGTGCTCAGAATCTGAATTAAATTAAATTGGCTAGACCTATTAATAGTATGGAAGAATTTACATTTTATGTTTTTTTATGTTTTTTTACATTTTAAGTTTTTTTCTTTTTCCTGCGGTAAATAAGAGAGGTTGTGGTTCTTTTTGCCGCCTCCTCTCCCCCAGGTTATTAAAGTAAATCATGAAAAAAAATTTTTTGGGGGGTCCAGTCGTGGGGCCTGAACTCTGGGCCTGGGCACTGTCCCTCAGCTCTTCAGCTCAAGGCTAGCGCTCTACCACTTGAGCCACAGCACCACGTCCGGCTTTTTTCTTTTTGCTTATGTGGTGCTGAGGAATCAAACCCAGGGCCTCAGGCATGCAAGGCAAGCTATACCACTGAGCCACCTTCCCAGCCCCAAATCATGAAAATTTTTATCTATAGGCATACTGATAATTAGGTGGAACTACAACATTTTAGTGACATGAAATTTATTTAGATGCTGATTAGGTGCTAACATTTCTTCCACAGAAATTCTACAGGTATTAAGCATTTCATACTTATTGTTTTAAAGTTGAATGTTATCAGAATATACTGGAAGTATTTTATAAGGTAAAAAAGACTTTTTAAAAGTTATATCTACCAGTTAGCAATGACTTGTGGGCATTGTTAAGGTCATAATTACTTGGTTGGGTTATCATACTAGATAAACTTTAAACATTTTGCTAGGGTAAAGAAACTAGTGACAAAAATTCACCTTTTGGTTTATTCTATTTATATGAAGTATCTAGAATAGGTCAATTCCAGATAGAAAATATATTACAGATAGAAAATAGATCAGTATTTCTTAGAGCTTCCTTCCTGCCCCTTCCCTTTCTTCTACTTCCTCAAGCTTGACCTCAGAGCCTGTTTTTGCTCAAGGCTAGTGCTGTACTACTTGAGCCACAGCCCTCCAGCTTCTGGTTAATTGGAGATAAAAATCTCATGGGCTTTCCTGCCAGGGCTGTCTTTGAATACTGATCTGCAGATCTTAGCTTCCTGAGTAGCTAGAATTACAGATGTAAACCACTGGCCCCTGACTAGAGTTTGTTTTTTGAGTATAAAAGTTTACAGAATTGCTGTGATGGTTATAAAGCTCTGTGATTTGTGTGTGTGTGTGTGTGTGTGTGTGTGTGTGTGTGTGCATATATGTGCGCCTGCACACATATATATCAGTCCTGGATGCAGATTCAGGGCCTGGGTATTCTGGCTTTTTGGTGCTTAGAGATGAGTCTTGTTTATGACTGGGACTGTGGCTTAGTGGTAGAGTGCTTGCCTAGCATGCATGAAGCTCTGGGTTTGATTCCTTGATACCACATAAACAGAAAAGGCCAGAGGTGGCACTGTGGCACAAGTGGTAGAGTACTAGCCTTGAGCACAGAGAGGCTCAGGGACAAAGCCCAGGCCTCGAGTTCAAGGCCCAGAACTGGCAAAAAAAAAAAAAAAGTCTTCTGTACTTTCCTTTTGATCTGGCTTTGAACTGCAAGCCTCCTGAGTAGCTAGGATTACAGGAATTAACCACCAGCTCTCAGCATATGAATATAGTTTTAAAGCTATTGATGTATATACAATAAGTAGGTTAGTCTTAGGAGTTATATATTTAAATGTCAAACAGTTGTTAGTGTGATGATAAAGCAGTGATACCGGTGATACCTGTTGAGGCAGGAGGGTTGCAAGTCTCAGGCCAGCCTTGCTATGCTATGTCATAGCAAGATCCTGTCTCAGTGACTCATGCCTGTAATTCTGACTACTTGGGATGTAGAGATTGGAAGAATGGTAGTTTAAAACCAGCCCTGGCTAAAAGTTGGCTAAACCTGCCATCTCAAAATGTGGGGAAGAGTAAATTGGAACCTCAGAGGCCAGACAAAAACTTAAAACTTTACCTCAAAAAGAACTAAAGCGTAACAGACTGTAAAAGTGCTTTCCTAGTAAGCCCAAGGCCCTAAGTTCAAACCCAGTACCCCCAAAACAAAAAGTCTACCACTATGAACTCCAAAAAACATAAAGAAAAGAACATTTGCAAATGTGTCTATACAATTTATCTTCTGGAGATGAAGAAGAATTAAGTACTTAATTGTCTCTGAGCTATGATTCTTTTTTTTTTTTTTTTTTTTGGTTCCGGTCATGGGGCCTGAACTCTGGGCCTGGGCGCTGTCCCTCAGCTCTTCAGCTCAAGGCTAGCGCTCTACCATTTGAGCCACAGCGCTACTTCCGGCTTTTTTCTTTTTGCTTATGTGGTGCTGAGGAATCGAACCCAGGGTCTCAGGCATGCAAGGCAAGCACTCTACCACTGAGCCACCTTCCCAGCCCCTGAGCTATGATTCTTTTCTTTCATTCTTTATCTGTCACTGGTGGGGATTCTTTTTTTTGCGGGGGGAGGATCCGGTCGTGGGGCCTGAACTCTGGGCCTGGGCGCTGTCCCTCAGCTCTTCAGCTCAAGGCTAGCGCTTTACCACTTGAGCCACGGCGCCACTTACAGCTTTTTCTGCTTATGTGGTGCTGAGGAATCGAACCCAGGGCCTCAGGCATGCAAGGCAAGCGCTCTACCACTGAGATACCTTCCCAGCCCGGGGAATTCTTTTGACAGGAGCTACTGGATATTTATAATGTAATTTCAGGCCTTACAAAATTATAATACGAGCATACAGGCTTGGGCAGCTGACGAGCATAGGTCCCTGTTTTGTCATCCACTGAATTAGCCTTATTTGGCCCACAGGCTGAAGATTCCCCACCCCTGGTTTAAAGTTAAGCTTATTAAATGCATATACTTTTGTGTTGAATGATAGTAAATTATAATTCATTTTTGACAGGAATTGACTTCTCAGACTTTTTCACATGATGGAGGATTCTTCAATAGACTGGAAGATGATGTTCATAAAATTCTTATTAGAGAAAAAAGAAGAGAACAGCTTACAGAATATAATGGAACAGATAATACTGCTCATGAACACAACCAGGCATGTTAAATAGAAAATTATGTTAAAATCACAATGAAATTAAAAATTCAAATTATCTTTTTAAATATTTTTACTTAAGTAGTTGTACAAAGGAGTTTTAGTTTAACATGTCAGCTTATGAGTATGATACATATTGATCAGTGTCACCCAAATTATGTTTTTTTAAAAAAATAAGCATTAGAATCCAAGGATAATTGTAAAAACTAATGTTTTAAGATATTATCTTAATCATTGTCCCACAAAGATATTTTCACTAAATTATGTATGTAGCTTATTCATTGACCAGTACTTACTGAGCATGCATTCTATGTAAAGTTAGGCACAGGTGTTGGGGAAAGAGATTACCTTCTTCTCTTAGGCATTCTAATAGTGGGAATAAAAGGAGATAGACATGACCACTATGTGGATTTTTATTTAGCATAATAAAAGCTTAAAAGGGGATGTGAACAGCTTAAAAAAGAAGTTTTGAAATGAAAAGGTAATAGATCACTTGGTACATGTGATAGATTTTCAATTTTGCATTATATAAACTGAAAAATGGAAAAAGACTGCTTCCTAAGGCAGCTGCAGAAACAGAGGTCCCAAATTATGAAAAGCCTTTTCAGGAAACTGAAAATTTCTGAAACTGTGAAGGTAGAGGGTTAAGTAAGTATGGGATAGGACATTTAGTGTAGTAGATCAGATTTAAGTGGGTTTTTTTGTTTTTTGGGGTTTTTTTTTGGCGGTTATGGGTCTGAACTCTGGGCCTGGGTGTTGTTCCTCAGCTCTTCAGCTCAAGGCTAGCACTTTCTACCACTTGAGCCACAGCTCCACTTCCTGCTTTTTCTGCTTATGTGGTGCTGAGAAATTGAACCCAGGGCCTCATGCATGCAAGGCAAGCACTCTACCACTGAGCCACCTTTCCAGTCATTTATTTATTTTTATTAAACTAAGAAGTTAGAATTTTATCCTAAGAAAGCCAGAACCCACAAGTATTTCAAATCCAGTTGGTGGCCATTTTTAAGTCTTATGAATAAGAATGGTACATTTTTTAAATACTAGGGTTTTTTTTGTAGGTAGGTAGATAGATAGATAGATAGATAGATAGATAGATAGATAGATAGATAGATAGATAATAGCAAAAAGCAAGGACAGTGATAACACAAAATTCCCATTAGTGGTTGTCCTAGGGGATATGATCCGGGAAAGGTATATGACATGGTGCTGCTAAGGAATTTGTAACAATATTTTTTTATTTTTAGAGATTTAATTAAAACAAATTTTGGTCTTTTTTTGTTTATTTTTCAAAATCTGACTCATTCCAGATCCTAACATTTTCAACATTTCTTTCAGAGAATGTTCAAATTCTAATTTTTTTTTGGATGAGACCAGGCTTCAAACTCAGTACCTGATGCTTTCGCTTACAAGCTAGCACTCTGCTAACTGAGCCACACCTCCAACCCCATGCTCAAATTCTTAATCCATATATTGGGTTATTTTATGTATTTTTATATATGCTGTATATCTCTATATTTGTATATATAACTTTTGCATATGTGAAATTTGCATAAATTAAAAATTGAAGACTTTTGCCATTCAGTGTTACGGAGAAAAAAAATTAAAACCATTTGAAAAATATTCTACTTTATATCTCCTTTCTCTTTGCATTACATTCCTTTCTTATCTTTTTGTTGTTGTTGTTGTTGGTCATGGGGCCTGAACTCTGGGCCTGGGCACTGTCCCTCAGGTCTTCAGCTCAGCCAGAGCACCACTTCTGGCTTTTTCTGCTTATGTGGTGCTGAGGAATTGAACCCAGGGCCTCATGCATGCGAGGCAAGCACTTTACCAGTGAGCCACTTTCCCAGCCCCCTCTTGTCTTTTTTTAAATTATTTTTTGCACCCCTTTGTAAAGAAGAAGTCTTTCCAAGGTTAAATCCTTTTAAACTGTGAATTTTATCCAGGAATTAATTAAAAGAAAACCAACCTTCAGTCTACTATTTTTTTTTTTGTGGGGGATGGGGAGGGAATATTAGTGTTTGAACTCAGAACCTTGCACCTGCTGAGCAGGTGCTCTACCAATTGAGTCACACCTTCAGCCCATTAGTTGTTTTTCAAATAAGGTGGCATTCTTTTGCCTGGGCTGCTCACCAACCATGATCATCTGTTTATACTCATACAGCTGTGATTGCAGGTATATATCATCATACCTGGCATTTTTGTTGAGACGCAAGGGAGGTATTTGCCAACTTTTATCCAGTGTGTTCTCCAACCATGTAGCTAGAATTAATTCTACCATTGTTGACACAGCATTTGGTTTCATTCAGTAGATTATTACCAATACTTAGAAAACAAAACAAAAAAAAGGACAGAAGAAAATGTCAGTATAATTTCATTAAAATTGTTCCTGTGTATATGTCTACCCTGGGTCAAGATAAAAATCATTTCTGAGCCGGGCGCCAGTGGCTCAAACCTATAATCCTAGCAACTCAGTAGGCTGAGATCTGAGGATCTCAGTTTAAAGCCAGCCCGGGCAGGAAAGTCTGTGAAACTCTTATCTCCAATAAACCACTAGAAAACCAGAAGTGGCACTGTAGCTCAAGTGGTAGAGCGCTTGCCTTGAGCTGAAGAGCTGAGAGACAGCTCTCAGACCCAGAGTTCAAGCCCCACGACTGAAAAAAAAAAATTCTATCATGAGTTAATATCAAATAAATCTGAAACTTTTAGAATAGTCTCTGTATATACTCCTAGTTAGAGATTTTTGTGTTAGTATTAGTTAAACCAGTTATACTTACCAAAAGTATGACTTGGGGATAACTTTATTTTTTTTATATATTTTTGGTATATGGTGCAAAATAAGGATTTTCAAGATAGACTAATAGCTTGTCATGGAGTAACTTTAATATGTTCATTCTAGGATATAAGTATCATTTCAAAGGCCTGATATGCTAAAGAATATTCTTATAGTTTTAGATTAATCATAAAAACTTTTCACTTTACATAATTAGGTTCATATACTTGAGTCAAAAGAATGTAGTTAAATAGTCTAAGGGTTACCTGAGAAATAGTATTTTTCCTCTGAATTTTTTTCACAAAGCAGTCTTGTAAACCAGGATTGAGTAATCTTAGTTCTGAAATTGTTTTTCTTTTTTTCAGGAAGTGGTTCTAAAAGATGGAAGAATTGAAAGACTAAAGTTGGAACTTGAAAGGAAAGATGCTGAAATCCAGAAGCTGAAAACTGTGATCACTCAGTGGGAGGTTTGTATCTATTTACTCTTGAGTGTGTTTGGGGTGCGTGTGTGGGTGCATGTGCATGTGTTTGCCAGTCCTAGGGATTGAACTCAGGAACTGTACTCTACCACTTAAGTTACAGCTCCAACTCTGATTAATTGGATATACAAATCAAATGGACTTTCCTGCCCAGGTTGGCTTCAAACCACAAGTCTCATAGGTCAGCCTCCTGAGTAGCTGGGACTACAGATGTGAACCACCAGTGCCTAGCTCCATTTACTGTTCTAAAGAAAATAATTCTTTAAATTTGCACAGCTTTGGTTTTTCTTATTTATAAACATGTTTAATATTCAGCTAATACACATAGTCATTTTGCTGTTTAGAGTTTTTAACTGATTATTTAAAATATGAATGATATTTATTATAAAACATTTAAATGCATGGTTCAGTAGCATTAATTACCTTCCCAGTATTGTGGAATCATCATAGCTATTTTTCTAAGTACTTCATGTAGATAAAATTGTCCAATAGTTTTCTTTTGTCTCTGGCTTATTTTACTTAGCATTCTTTTCAAAACCTATTCATGTTGTAGCATTTATCAGAATTTCAGTCCTGTTTATTACTAAATGATATTCCCTTTCATGTATATACTACGTTTTATTTATTGGTACATGAATATCTAAGTGCCTTCTTTGAATTCTTACGGAATATACTTAAGAATTACATATGATAATTCTGTTTAACTTTTTAAGAAACCTCCAAATTACTTTCCACAACATCCGTACCACTTATGGTCCCACCAGCAGTGCATAAAGGTTCCTGCTAATGCTTGTTACGTATACAATTTTCTGGGAAGGAGGTTATTTGGGGGGTGTGTGTGTGTGTGTGTGTATGTACACATACGTGCATGCATGCATGCATGCGTGCGCAACAGTCCTTAGGCTTGAAATCTTGAGGGCCTGGTGGTATCCCTGAGCTTTTTTGCTTAAGGCTAGCACTCTAGCACTTGAGCCTTTTTATACTTATGGCTTTATTGGTAATTAATGAGAATCTCACAGACTTTCCTGCCCAGATTGGCTTTGAACCTTGAAGTTTAAATCTCAGCTTCCTGCACAGCTAGGATTACAGGTTTGAGTCACCAGCTCCTGTGTGTATACAATTTGTTTAAACATAAATCTTAGTTCTTTGCTTAGGCTTAAAAATCTCCTTAGAGATAACCACATCAGATGTTCTTTTGACTAATAGTGGATCATTCATCACTTATTTATGAAGTGTTTGTAGTGTGCCAGGTCCTTTTTGGACCCAAAATATGTAAAATTGAAAAAAATCAAGCTTCAAATCTAATGGTTCTTACATTTCCCTTCTTCCTCTACCTTTGCTTTTAAGACTCAGCTTGCTGACTTGGGGTGGGGGGGAGGGGGGAGGCTGGGAAGGGATGTGAAGGGTAAACAAAGGAGGAGGCTGCAATGCTTGGTAAGAAATGTACGCATTATCCTGCCCATGTAATTGTAACCCCTCTGTACAGTATGTTCACAAATAAAATAAAATTAAAAAAAAAAGACTCAGCTTGCTAAAATATTTCCCAACTCTGTATACTCACGTTCCTTAGCTTTTCATTTCTATTTTCCTTTGTGTTAATAGGTATGGGGAATGTAAAAATGAGTTTTGGGAAGATAAAAATGTGGGATTTATAATTTTATGATATTTGACAGAATGAAGGGATTTGTTTCTAATATTGAAAACTGGTGAAATTTTCACAAAAAGGTAACTTTAGCATGTAGGGAGAAGAGTGTAAAAGGCATAGGAAGGTAACTGTAGGAAGTAGCTGACATTTAGAGGAATGTGAAATCTGTGGAGGATAAGATTGGAAGTATTTGTTGGACTCAGAATTTGAAGGCATTTGGATTTTAGAGGTCGCTTAAAGTCTTCAAAAGCAAAGTGACATGAGAATTTTTTTATGGGATGATAATGTTGTAACTGATGCCTACAGTCAAGGTAGTCCAGTAAAACCATGAATATTAGAGAAAACACATTTTAAATTGAGGAATGATAATTCTCAGAGTCCATTTTGGATATGTTGAATTTGAAATGGTTTTATTAGAGTCATAAATGCTCAGGATACAGTAGATTCACAACTTCTATGCTTTTAACTTTATCAACTTAATTTGCTCTTTTTTTGTATGAAATAAAAAATTATAGCTATATGTGGTGGTATGTACTTCAAAGGCATGAGGAAGGCAAGTTTGAGGCTAATCTGGGCTATAATAGCAAGATCCTGTCTTAGAAAAGCTAGAAAACAAAAGTAGTGTAGTTCTAAATATTCATAGTATTTCTGTATTCATAGTGAATGTAGTTATAGTTGAGTATATTTGTTTTTCTCTCATTTTTTATGTTTCTACCTGACTTGTCTCTCATTTCAAAGCATCTCAGAAGTCTTAATCCATTTGTATTTCCTGTGGTACTTATTTTGGTTCACTGTGTTAACTGCAATAATACTTAGTAAACATAACTGATTTATTATCAGCAATTTCAGGTATGAAATGCTTTTTAGTGAAGCCATCTGTGTAGGACTTAAATTTTCTTTACAAAAAAATTTTGAGGGGGGCTGGGAAGGTGGCTCAGTGGTAGAGCGCTTGCCTTGCATGCATGAGGCCCAGGGTTCGATTCCTCAGCACCACATAAGCAAAAAGAAAAAAGCTAGAAGTGGCACTGTGGCTCAAGTGGTAGAGCGCTAGCCTTGAGCTGAAGAGCTGAGGGACCGCGTCCAGGCCCAGACTTCAGGCCCCATGACTGGACCCAGAAAAAAAATTTTTGAGGGCTAAGTACAGTATCTTTACAATAAAAGATATATATTAATAAAAAAAATTTAAATGTTGAGGTCTAAGTATGTGACTCAGTATTAGAACACCTGCCTAGAATGCATAAAGCTCTGTGTTTGATCCCTAGCATCTCAAAACAAAATAAAATGAATCTGGTTACCTATGTACATATCTTAAGTATCTGTTGAATGAACAAAATGACAAGTGCTTTATATTAATATATTTTGTTTAGGCTTTTATTTTTCAATAATATATTAAATATATTTACTATATTTTTTTTCTTCTGGGACTAGGGTCTGACAAACAGTAATTACAGTAAATAGACTAAACAGGTAAATTGTGCTATAAAATAGTATAAATAAAATAATCACTACAAGTGTCTCAAAAGTTAGATGCAACTACAATTTAAAGTCCATTTTTTCACTTGCACTAGCAACATTTCTGGTAGCTACATGTTAAATGTAAAATATCAAAAGTTTAGTATATAATTGAACAACACAGGCTTAGAATTTGTGAATCATTTTTCTTTTTGTTTTATCTAAATTATTTTGAATTGTATAAGAGCTTTATTTGGCAAAGAAAGAGGAAAACTCTTTAGGTAAATTTAGTGTTACCCTAACATTTCTTCATGTTTAGCCTCTTGTCTTTTTTAATCACCTATGGTATTACCTAGTATTTTGTGAGAGGTTTTGCTTCCATTTTCCTCTTTGTTTCAGAAGTAATTTTTTGCCTTTCAGCAAGCCTAGAATTCACATCTCTCTAATTTAAATTAAATCATATCATTTACTTTTTTAAAATGAACATTTTTTTCTTTGACTCCTAGGCAAAGTATAAAGAAGTAAAGGCAAGAAATGCACAATTACTGAAAATGCTTCAGGAAGGTGAAAGTAAGTAATTTTTGTGTTTTTAGTATTAAAGTATATCTTACATAATATCTGAGGATAATTTTTCAAGATATATAACTTATCAGTGCAGCAATAAAAAGGTTTCTCAGAAGCTGAATAATTGCTGACAACATTATCATTGTAAGTTACTCTCAAAGTACCTTAGCTACATTTACAACTGTTTATGTAAGAGAAACCATTGAGATCTCAACACTTAAAAGTCATCAAACTATATATTTAGAGGGAAAAACAGTCCTAACATTTGCTAAGGATCAGCTTTTCATTGTTGGAGGAGGCAGTTTGATGGCATTGTAGGCTTTTTTTTCTGTTTGGTTTCTTCTCCCTCTCCACTGCTCTTCCTTCTTTTTCTGCTACTATAAACTGTTGGCAAGAAATCCTCAGTAGAAATCCAAAGAAATAATCCAAAAAGTGTTTAGAGATTAATATTAGTAAAGTTGATGATGATGATGAGAGATTCCCAGTTGCATCCCTGAACACATGTATAGTTATACCTTGAAAGTTCTATGAAGAATTTCCATCCATAACAGCAAACAAAACATGTATTTTTAATATAAGATTTATGCAAAGGAAATACAAAACTACATAGATTAAGATATAAATAGCCAGGCATTGGTGACTCACTCCTACAACCTTAGCTACTCAGGAGTGTAAGATCTGATGATCATGGATAAGCTGGCTTGGTCAGGAAACTCTGTGAGACTCTATCTCCAATTAAGCACATCCCCCCAACCCCCCCAAAAAATAAAATAAAATCCAGAAGTGGAGTTATAGCTCAAGTGGTAGAGCACTGGCTTTGAGTAGAAAAGCTCAGGGATAGCACCAAGTCTCTTGAGTTCAAGCCCCAGGACTGGCACCTAAATAAATTAAATAAATAAATAAATAGATGAATAAATGAGAACATTTCCTGAATAGATAAAACTAAATAAAATATTGTGCCTTCTTAATAAATGTTAATGAAATTTCAAACCAATGCTTATAAATTCAGGTATAGCCCTAAGAAACAGTGTAACCCACATTGAAAAATAAGAAGGTAGGCCGGGCGCTGGTGGCTCACGCCTGTAATCCTAGCTACTCAGGAGACTGAGATCTGAGGATCTCGGTCAGGCCCGGGCAGGAAAGTCTGTGAGACTCTTATCTCCAATAAACCACTAGAAAACTGGAATGGTGCTGTGGCTCAAGGGGTAGAGCGTTCACCTTGAGCTGAAGAGTGCAGGGACAGCGCCCAGGGTTCAAGCCCCACGACCGACCAAAAGAAAAAGAAAAGAAAAATAAGAAGGTATCAAAACTTATTTTCAAGTTAGGCACCAGTGGCTCATGCCTGTAATCCTAACTAATCAGGAGGCTAAGAGCTAACAATCATGTTTCAAAGGTAGCCTAGTCAGAAAAGCTGGAAGTGGAGCTGTAGCTCAAGTAGTAGAGCACTAGCCTTGAGCATAAAAGTTCAGGGACTGCGCTCAGGCCCTGAGTTTAAGCCTTAGGACTGGCACAGTCACACTCACACAAAAAAGGTATAGTCCTAGCCCTTAAGGCTGGAGAATTGACAAGGCAAGGTCAATTTAGACTATATAATGAGAAACTGTCTCAAAAAAGAAGTCAATTGCCCCATTTGTTAAGAAATGGAAACACTTGGAAAAAATTATATTAAGTGAAATAAGCCAGGCCCAAAGAAACATAGGTCCCATGGTTTCCCTTATTTGCAATAACTAGTATATGTCTGAGTCAAGCAGAAAAGGTCAGATAAGTTGATGTTAGGGAAATGAACCCTAAGATTTGTATTCACATGTTTTTTCCTTTCGTGCGATTGTTTCTAACACATAAGATTATTTCTTTGTTGCTTTGTATGTCCCTCCCCCATGGTATAAACCCTGCTTTCACTGTATTTGATGTCGGTATAATTTGTGGAGGGGAAGGGAAAAAACAAATCATTTAAATAGGGATAGGTGGACCCATTGCAACAATGAGGTGTACAAGTCGTTATGTCAAAAAACGAACTTTACAACTTTGGTGGGGTGGGGGAGGATGGGAAAGGATGGGAAGGGGAAACAAAGGAGAAGGCTACAATGCTTGATAAGAAATTGGACTGGGAAGGTGGCTCAGTGGTAGAGCACTTGCCTTGCATGCATGAGGCCCTGGGTTCGATTCCTCAGCACCACATAAGCAAAAAAGAAAAAAGCCGGAAATGGCGCTGTGGCTCAAGTGGTAGAGCACTGGCCTTGAGCTGAAGAGCTGAGGGACAGCACCCAGGCCCAGAGTTCAGGCCCCACGACTGGACCCCCCCCCCCAAAAAAAAGAAATGTACTCATTATCTTGCCCATGTAATTGTAACCCCTCTGTACAGTATTTTCACAAAGTCAAGGTAGTTAAATATTTTTCCTATGTAAAATTTTATAGTTTTCTATATACTTTTTTCCTACTTAGTATAGATGAAAGCATAATCATTTGTTTTATCTGTACAATTAATATTTTAACACTGTGCCTTAAAATGTCTAAGAAAAACTGCTGCAATTGTATGTAGATTAGTGGCAAAGCACTTGCCTACCAAGTGCAGCACACTTGAGTTTGATTTCCAGTACCAGGAAAAACAAAAACAAAACTTGCGTGATGAAACTGATCTGAGTTTACCCATGAAGCATTAAGAAATACATTCATTAAGGGGCTAAGAAATCATTCTTCTAGAGGCTGGGAAGGTAGCTCAGTGGTAGAGTGCTTGCCTTGCATAAATGAGGCCCTGGGTTCTATTCTTCAGCACCACATAAGCAAAAAAAGCCAGAAGTGGCGCTGTGGCTCAAGTGGTAGAGCGCTAGCCTTGAGCTGAATAGCTGAGGGACAGTGCCTAGGCTCAGATTTCAGGCCCCACGACCAACCAAAAAAAAAAAAAAAAAAATCATTGTTCTAGCTGTATTCCATGTAGACTATAGACTTTAATTGACTGATTATTAAAGTAGTTGAGTGACTGAAAAGAAAATACTGTTGTTTTTTCAGTGAAAGATAAGGCAGAAATACTTCTGCAAGTTGATGAATCACAAAGTATCAAGAATGAGCTAACTATACAGGTAAGCTGTAAAGCAAACATGGCTGGTTTAGTCTCAAAGTATTAAATTTCATTAAAAATATATAGCTCCTTAGTACTGCAAGAAAGTGATGGAAATTATACTTTATTACTGTTATAGTAAGTAAAGATTCTTTATTGTGTTAAGGGAGGTAGATAATCCCTGAATATTTTAGTGGACTATGAATACAGAGATAGAAAGGGCAGCTAGGCCGGATGCTGGTGGCTCACATCTGTAATCCTAGCTACTCAGGAGGTTGAGATCTGAAGATTGTGGTTCAAAGCCAGCCCCAGGAGGAAAGTCCATGAGACTATTATCTCCAATGAATCATTCAGAAAACCGGAAGTTTTCTGAGCACTGTGGCTCAGTGGTAGAGTGCTAGCCTTGAGCTGAAGAGCTGAGGGACAGTGCCCAGGCCCAGAGTTCAGCCCCAAAATGGACAAAAAAATGGACAAAATGGACAAAAAAAAGGCAGCTAGAACTTACCCTGTTCCTAGAATTGATTCATTCTCTTTCACATTTCTATTTATCATTGTGTTTAGAATCACTGTATTTGTCAGAAAGATTAAAGTTATTTTATTCTTAAATGTTTGGTTATAGGTGACTTCACTTCATGCTGCATTAGAACAAGAAAGATCGAAAGTGAAAGTATTACAAGCAGAATTAGCCAAATACCAGGTATGCTGTTGTAATTTTGAAGAGTTTTTATCACAAACCAGTATATTTGGAATAGAAAAATACACTTTCATTTTATCTAAAATTTATTTGCTGTGTTATTTTCTAAAATGCAAATTGCATTTTAGATTGCATACAATTTGCATTTTAGAAAACGTTGAGGTATTGGTTATAATAATTCAGAAAAGTCCTTGGAACTACATAGATATAGCACATGTGCCTTTTAATCATATGAGAAGATACACAATGGCATTTATACCATTACAAGTTTTGATTGCTGATTATAGCAATATCTCCTAGCTATCAATATTGTAAATATTGTATTGAGTGATACTTTGAAATTGTGTTAAGGTGCTAAACTGTGCTAAACCCAATGATTTTAACAACCATTGGTGACATTTGTATTGGTTACTATTTTGGTGAATGCAAAAGAGTGATTTTTTTGTGTGTGATTTTTCTAATTCTGTCATTCTGCATTTACAAGATGGTACTCGGCATTTTTTCAAAACAAGAATAAAGTGCTCTGTTTTAATATGTATATGGGTATATTGCACATATTTATATGTACACATGTATATGCCTAAGTCATAAAACAATGGGAATCATAAACTCAATAGCTACTCACTGTGGATCACTGATCGCATAGAGAGCATAAAAGTTGTTTAAACTAGCTTTGAAATGGAATCAGTCCCTTTGGGAGATTTTGAAAAGGACTCTTTTGGGCTGGGAAGCTGGCTCAGTGGTAGAGCGCTTGCCTTGCATGCATGAGGCCCTGGGTTTGATTCCCCAGCACCACATAAGCAAAAAGAAAAAACGCCAGAAGTGGCTCAAGTGGTAGAGTGCTAGCCTTGAGCTAAAGAGCTGAGAGACAGTGCCCAAGCCCAGAGTTCAGGCCCCACAACCGGACCCAAAAAAAAAAAGAAAAGGACTCTTTTATGTTTGTTGTTGAGTTTTTCTTAAGGCTCACTGAAGCCAAGTACCCATGGTTCATGTTTGTAATCCTAACTATTGATAAGACTGAGTTATGAGGATCTCAGTTCAAAGTCAGCCTGCAGACAAATCCATCAGACTCTTATCTCCAATTACCTAGCAAAAAGCTGGAAGTAGAAATAGCTGAAGTGGTAGAGACCATCTCAGAGAGAAAAAAAAAAAAACAAGCAAAAGTGTGAGGCTCTGAGTTCAAGCTCTACTACCTGCACAGAAAAAAAGGGCTCACTGAGAAGCATAGGTTTGATATTGAACCATTATAACCATAGTAAACTTAAGCTTGATAAGAACCATAAGTTTCTTCTTAACTTAAATAATTTTTCCTCTGTTTTTATTTCCTTGTTATATAACAGGAAATAAATCATTTTAAAAGTGTCTTTTCATATCTCATGCCCCACAAAATCTGTTCATACTGTTTTTCTCTGAATAAATCTTTGCAGAACTTTTACATAGTCAGGCATGAAGAAAACCTTCTGATACTCAGGAGGTTTTTTGGTTTTGTTCTGATTTTTTTTAAGGCTGATGTAGTTTGACTCCAAGAAGGAAAAGCTATAGGACAGAAAGCAGTAAAAGAAATGAAGAGATGCTACTATCATGTATGCTAGATATGCCCCTAATTAATGACAACCACTTTAAGAAATGTATTTCTACAGACAGGCAGTTCCCAAAATTAGCTGATTATCATGATCATCTCGGAACTTTTTCAAGTACATGTAATAATCCAATTAAGTAGGGGCAAGACAAAAACCTAGACATCAGAATTTTTTAATTACTGCTGCCTAGCTGGTTCTGATTATTAAGTTTTCAGTTTCATTGTCAACATTTATGAAAATGGGAAATACTTTAAAACCATAATAAGGTAAGTACTTCAAACCATTATTATGGTTAAAATGAGGGGCAGAGTATGTTGTTATGGAAGATTGAATGTTTCTTGTTAGTACCTTTGTCCTTTCCTTATTTCCATAGTTCAAATATTTCAGTTCTAAATCAAAATGAAACAAGGTGTTAAAGTAATATACAGGATTTGGCATGGTAGTTCATGCCTTTAATCATAGCAATATGAGAGGCAGAGGCAGAGATGGAAGAATTATGGTTTGAGGAAAGCTTGGGATGAAAATTATAGATCCTGTCTCAACAAAGAAGTTGGTGCACACCTATAACCCCAGCTATTCAGAGAACAGAGGTAGGAAAATTATGATTCTAGGTCAGTCCCAGAGGAAAAGTTTGAAAATATATCTGAAAAATAAATAAAGTTGTTTTTTTAAGGGTCTAGGGTATAGCTTTAGTGGTAGAGTGATTTATAGAAGTGCAAGGCCAGGAAGTGGCGCTGTAGCTCAAGTGGTAGAGCACTTGCCGCCTTGAGTTGAAGAGCTGAGGGACAACGCCCAGGCCCAGAGTTCAAGCCCCACGACCGACAAAAAAAAAAAAAAAAAGAAGTGCAAGGCCTGAGTTTAAACCTTAGTACTACAAAAAAAGAAATGAAAAAAGGACAAAGACAGAAGGGAGGAAAGTAATATGTGTAAAATTATTACTGTCTTTTAAGCTGCCTTCTTTATTCTCATTCAGGTCATAAATGGGGTTTCCTATGTAACAAATTAAATACAGATTTACAAAGGGTGAACAAATGCAGCAGTGGTACTCACTAAACACGATGTTGAAAATGAACTATACAACTTGTAGGTGGGGACAGGAGGGAAAAATGGAGAGAGTGAGGGAAGAGGTGACATTTTCTTTTTGAAAAAAAAAAACTGTACTCATTACCTGACTTAGGTAACTGTAACCACTCTGTACATCACCTTTAAAATAAAGTAACAGTAAAAAATAAAATATAATAAACTTCCAACCCCCCGAAAATACAGATTTATATAGGTCACTGAGCAATATGAAAAGAGTAACTTACTTTTCAGTCCACAAATGAACAAATCAAATTTCTAATTCTTTTTAATATATATAAAAATTGTCAGAACTTGAATTATAAGTTGAACTACCCAGAGGATAATGAACCAAATTTTGTATGTGGTTTATTATTGTATTGATCTAAAGTTCTGCTTTTTAACAACTATGAAAGTCAGACAAACTTTAAGAAATTAGTTATTCATGATCTTATTAGTCAAGCCTAAACAAGTTGATGGATAAGTAACTTTTCTACAGAAATTATAAAAAAAAAAAACCATATGAGGGCTGGGAATGTGGCTTATTAGTAGAGTGCTTGCCTACTATGCATGAAGCCCTGGGTTCAATTCCTCAGTACCAAATAGGCAGGAAAAAAAAGCCAGAAGTGACACTGTGGCTCAAGGGGTGGAGTGCTAGCCTTGAGCAAAAGAAGCTCTGGGACAGTGCCCAGGCCCTGTGAGTTCAAGCTTCAGATTTGCCCCTCCCCCCAAAAAAATTCCCATATGAAATAACTTAGTGGTATGTACATTAAGGAAAAAAACTTGCTTCCTTCTCTACCTCCTTTGGATCTTAGTGTTCTGAACATGACAATGTCCCCCAGATACTACTTTTCTAAATAATTTTCTCTGTTTTTTTTACAGGGTGGCAGAAAAGGGAAAAGAAACTCTGAATCTGACCAGTGTAGGTGATTGCATTAGCCTTGACACCAGCCCAAAAGTTAAAACTTTCAGGATTTTGCAAATATGTATATATTTAATGTTGTGCAACTGCTAAACTATGCAGTTTTTGTTGAAGGAACTAAAAGCAAGTAGCTCACTAACAGTCTAATTTTGTGTTCTTTTGGCTTAAAAGTGAAAAGAAGAAATACAGAATTCCAGCAGAACTCATGATTATTGTTTACTATCCATACATACTTCTTACCACTTTAGTTTTTCATCAGTCAATAAATTCATTTACTCTTCCACCGTTTGATTTTTTATTTTGTAAATTATGAAAGTATTATTTTTGCTTATACTTTAGTTAATTGAAATCTTTCAGTTCAAAATCTTATTCAGAACTTTCTGTGTACTAAGTCACACAAGATGGGTGAAATATGGTTGATATCTTCAAGCTGCTTATGCCTAAGGGAAATAGACGGTGAATATGGGTAAAAAAGGAGAAAACTAATTAAGGTATGTGTTAAGAGTATGATACTATATAATATATACTATTGAAACAAATTGAGTAAATTTAAGTGAGATAATTTTTAGAGAGGTGTTTTGCTGCTGCTGTTGATGGTGGTGGTGGTGAAAGATGGGTGTGAATTTATTGAGAAGTGTTTCAGGCAGAGGGAATGAAATTGAGATTTGTTTTTAAGTGCAGTCTGGCTTGTGGTTAGTAACAAGACATGGTTAGGGGAGTTTGGATGATTGAGGAGGAATGAATGGGAGATTTTTCATTGCTGTAATATATTCCTAGAATAATTTGTTATTTTTAGGACTTTGGGGGATTTTTTAGTACATTCAGTAAAATATATGATTCATTAAAATAAAGGTTTTCTTTGTGTATGATAGCAAAGCTGAACATATAAGTACTAATCTTAAAACTCCAGAGCTAGCATTGTATGAAAGAGTCCACTTGTTGACAGTCTTTTTGGTAGTAAAGAGGCCATTAAATTGTCAATTGCTTATATGTCTTTCTATATAAAACAACAAGGTTATATAAACCTTGCAAATTATTGTGATTTATTATTTTCTATATTTTTAGTGCTAGGTGCCATGAGGCACAGAGTACATGATGAAATGCTAAAGAAATATTTCACCTAATAATGAGCACATTCAAGGAAAAAGAAGCACAGTATGAAGAAACACAGATAAGCAAAGACTGTGTTGAAGGACTAGAAGGCCTTGGCCTTTAGTTGGTGATGGTCATGGTACTTAAGGATTGAACGCCGAGCCCCCACACATGATAGGTGAATGTGCTACCACTGAACTATCTACACTTGTCCAAGTTGCATTTTGACTGGAACATATGTTTACAGAAGGCAGTAATGAAGCTGCCAGAAAGATAATTGAGGGCTAACTTTTATCCATCTTAAATTTCAGATTAATCTGTGCATAATTTGATAGGAATGGGAAAAGCATTAAAATTTTACAATCAGAGTTATTCTTTAAGATTTAGTTTAAATCGAAAGTCATAAAAAAGAAATAACCAACCCATTAGGGGTTAGAGGTTATTGCTAGGGTGGTAGAGTGCCAGCCGATGAGTGAAATTGTGAGATCCAAGTTTGAGTTATGATCTCAGACAAAAAAAAAAAAAAAATCAAAGAAAAAGTAATGTAGAAGACAGTATCAAGGAGGATTTTATAAAAGTAAAAATAGGAGTTAAAAGTGATCTGAACTAGAAAATGGCAGTAGAATTCAGAAGATGAAGTAAAGGATATAAGACTCCATGGTAGAATCTAGTAAACTTAAGGGTGACAAAGAAGTGCATCACAAACAAAAATAAGAAGGCCTTAAGCTGGGCACCAGTGGCTCACATCTGTAATTCTAGCTACCTATGAGGCTGAGATCTGAGGATATCAGTTCAAAGCCAGCCTAGACAGGAAAGTCCATGAGACTCTTCAATTAAAAAAAACAAAAGCTGGGCACCAGTGGCTCACGCCTGTAATCCTAGCTACTCAGGAGGCTAAGATCTGAGGATCTCGGTTCAGAGCAGCTGGGGCAGAAAAGTCCGTGAGACTCTCTATCTCCAATAAACCACCAGAAAACCGGAAGTGGTGCTGTGGCTCAAATGGTGGAGCACTTACCTTGAGCTGAAGAGCTGAAGGACAGCATCCAGGCCCAGAGTTCAAGCCCCACAACTGACAGAAAAAAAAAAAAAAGGCTGGAAATGGAAATGGAAGTGTGGCTCAAGTAGTAGAGTTCTAGACTGCAGTAAAAAAGTACAGGCCTCAAACCTTGAAGGGAATGACAATAGTGATGCATTAGGTAAAACTAAGCCTGACTAGCCTGGCTGTATATGCCTGTAAACTCAGTATTCATGAGATTGAGACAAGATATTCATACTTTGGGGATCAGCTTACACGATATAGTGAGTTTCAGACCAGTCTAGGCTCTGTATTGAAACCTGGTCTTCTAAAAAGTCAAGCAATTGATAGATAAATTGATGGAGGAATTAATGTTAATGATGTGGACAGAATTGGCTTTTGGTATGTTTAAATTAGGTTTTCCTTGCAAAGCATCTAAAAGTAGGAGTGCATCATAGAAGTGTTTTGTTTGGGGCAGTATTGGAATTTGAACTCAGGATTTTGCTCTGGTAGGCTGGTGTTCTACCACTTTAGGCCACATCCAGTCCATTTTGCTTTCATTAATTTTGAATAAAGTCTTGCTTTTCTCCCAGGCTGGCTAGACTGTAGTCCTCTTACATATGCTTCTCCATAGTAGCTAGGATGATAGATATGTACCACTATGTCCAGCTTCTTTTTGATTGACATGAGATCTTGCAAACTTTTTGCCCAGACTGACATTTAACTTTGATCATTGCAGTCTCAGCCTCCCGAATACCTACCATTATAGGTATGACCTTGTGTATATTTTAATCCAAAGCTTTCACTCTAGTGAGCTAGTAAGATAGCATTGTGAATCAAAACGACTAGATAACTGCAAGAAAACTTGTGAAGTTATAATCAACCAGCTTGAGGTCTCCCTTATTTTACTTTCTATTTAAGTTTTAGAATTTAAGTTTTACCACCATTAACCATGTTAGATATTTCTGGTGGTGGTGATTAAAAATTAACTTTTTATAATCTTATTACAGATAAAATATTTTATAGACATTACTACTTAAGACGATTTTTGCTTCTTGTGAATTTAGGAAGAGATTTTTCCTAATCTATTCATTTATCTACTATCTATATAAATGATTTCATCAGCTTATATGGAATTAACTTGAAAAAAAACTTAGTTGAGATATAACTGACACCCAACTGCATTTGCTAAATTAGAATTAGTGAACATGTTTTTGTGATTTTGAAAATTGTTGAGAGTTGCTGTATGGAACAATTTGAGATCTACTTAGTAGTACATATGTAGGCTTGAAAAAAAATGCATTGTGCCATTTGGGTTACATTATTCTATATGTATTCAGTTAGATCAAATTTCCTCAAATGGAATTATATCTTTAATGAGTTTCTGTCCTAATCTGTACTGAGAGAAGTATGGTAAAATCTGATTGTGCATTTGTTTACTTTTGTCAATCTTCTTTGTGAGGTCTGTATATAAAGTAAAATTGTTTTCATCTTTGTGGTGAAAGATAAATTATATTTTCGTGAAGTGGTTGTCAATAGTATGTTTTTAGTTTAAATGTCTATATCATCCAATATAGCCATAATGGCTTCCTTGAATTTAGTACTTCCATGATATATTTGATAACACCCTTTCATTATTAATCATTCTGGGTCTTTTTGATTCTGTTGTTTTGTTGTGCTGGTCCTGAGGCTTGAACTCAGGGCTCAGATGCTTGTCCTGGAGCGTTTTAGTTCAAGGTTAACACTCTACCACTTGTGCCACAGCTCCACTTTGGGCTTTTTATGTAGGCTGCCTTCCAGTTATGATCCTTGGATCTCAGACTCCTGAGTAGCTAGGATTACAGACATGAGCCACCCTCCTCCCCAACTGTCCTTATGCTTTTAGTATGTCTGTTATAAATAATACATTTTACTTGTTTTAATCCCAGTTTGACAACCTTCTATGTTTCTGGTTTTCTCCTTTTCTTTGTGTAACTGACTTGAAAATCTCTTGTGTCTGGTCTCAAGTGCTTATAAGAAGTCTTCCTGGGGCTGGGAAGGTAGCACAGTGGTAGAGTGTTTGCCTTGCATGCATGAGGCCGTGGGTTCGATTCCTCAGCACCACATAAGCAGAAAAAGCCAGCAGTGTTGCTGTAGCTCAAGTGGCAGAGAGGGAGCCTTGAGCTGAAGAGCTGAGGACAGCGCCCAAGCTCAGAGTTTAGGCCCACGACCAGGAAAAAAAGAAAAAAAAAAGTCTTCCAGGGCTGGGAATATGGCTTAGTTAGTGGTAAAGTGCTTGCCTAGCATGCATGAAGCCCTGGGTTCCATTCCTCAGTACCATATAAACAGAAAGAGCCAGAAGTGGCGCTGTGGCTGAAGTGGTAGACTGCTAGCCTTGAGCTAAAAAAAGAAGCTCAGGGACAGTGCCCAGGCCTGAGTTCATACCCCAGGACTGGCCAAAAAAAAAGTCTTCCATCTGATGTGATGATGAACACCTATTATCTCAGCACTTGGGATGTGGAAGCAGGAAGATTTTCAGTTTGAGGCTAGTCCTGGCCAACTTACAAGATTCTTATCTCAAAAATAAAATTAATTGCAGAAAGGCTAGGGTTGTAGCTCAAGTGGCAGATCACTTGCCCCATAAGCACGGGGTCCTGGGTACAATCCTTAGTACCAGGGGAGAGGGAGATATTCCAACTCTATAGTTTTTTTTTTCTTTTTAAATAGAGGAATTTCTCCCTAGAAAAGGTAGTACCAAAGCTTACTCTATTTTGCTATGGTGGAGCTTTACCTCCCAACATATAGTACTAAAATTTAACTTCAGAGTCAGGTTCTACCTTTTCAAATAACTAATATAAGGATTTGTCATCAAACCAACTATTGTTGGCAAGAGATAGTTGGAAATTAGGATTTAAATTATTCGATTCTCTCTCTCTCTCTCTTCCTCTCTCTTCCTCCTTCCCTCCCTCTTGCTCAAGGCTAGCACTCTACCACTTGAGCCACAGCACCACTTTCAGCTTTTTCTGTGATTTAATTGGAGATGTGAGTCTCACAGACTTTTACTTCCTGGGCTGACTTCGAACCACAATCCTCACTCATAGTTCAGCATCCTGAGCAGCTAGGATTACAGGTGTGGGCCACTGGCGCCTGACAGTTCAATAACTTTAATCTTATCAAACAACATTTTTGTCTTAGTT